GGGCCCGGTCCGCCGCGGCTCGGCGCTGCCTTGTCACGGGGACACCCGGGGCCGGGGGGGAGGGGGACGAGCGCGAACCTTCATGTCCCGCCCCCTGTCCCTGTGCCCCGCCCACGCCCCGCCCCAATGAGCCCCGCCCCAGCCTAGGCCCCGCCCCTGCGGCGGCGCTCAAATGCGGGACCCCGTCCCCTAGCAGAGACCACGCCCCGTCCTGGCCCCGCCTCAGGATCCTTGGGGCCCCGCCCACCAATCTACCGGGGCTCTCCCTCGTCCAACTTCGCTGGCCCCCTCGTCTAGCAGGCCCCTCCCCGCAGTTAGGACTACACAGGGCCCGCCCTCGCTTCTGGGGACTCCCGTGTTCTCCCAGGTCCCGGAGCTCCCTCCCCACCGTAGACTGGGGTCTTCCCTTGGGGCCCGAGCCCTCTTTTCCAGTCTCTGGCCGAAGTCTCCACCTCCCGTTAAGACCCCATTTGGGGAAGCCGGGGGACTATGGCAAAGAAGGGGGGTGCGGGAAGGAGAAAGAAGGAAAACACTGGCGAGGTGGGGGCGGAGCCCTCGGACAGCGTTTGCAGTTGAGTCGAGACCTGTTTTCCAGCCACTTTCTCACTCGGTGACCCACCCGCTGGTGGGCTCTGGGCCCCTGGTGGCCAGGAACACCTCTCGTCCGCCAGCACAAACCGGACAGAGGGCGCGCAGCACGTCCCGGTTGTCCGGGGTCATGGGAAACCGTAATGAATCATAACCAAATCTGTCCTCTATGCCCAGCGCTAGGCCCCGCAAATTAAGTCTTTTAACTCCTGGCACGCTGGCATGATACTTGCCCATTTTACAGATGAGAAAACACATTTACAAAAGTGACCTGCTCATGAGTATTTTGCTAGAAAGGAGCCAACAGTGGGTCTGAGTTGTGTGACTCCAAAGTCTGAACACCTCATGGCCACACCTGGAGTTTTTGGTTAGGGGTGGCAGGATGGAGCTCAAATGCAGAGCAAGTGACACCCAAAGGCCCTTCCCATCTCTTGGTGTGTTTAGAGCTCTAACCACAAGCTGTGCGTGACCATGAAGCCACTCCTCTGGAATTGCACTGAGGTGGCCTTTGCAAAGGTGAAGTTTACCCACACATTCCTGAGAAGGAGCACCGGCCCCCCCCTCCCAGTAGAAAACTTGTTGCTGTGAAGCTACCAGTCTCCCCGACCTCCCTTGAGCCTCACCACACCCACACACCCCACCCACTCCCCCACCTAAAAATAGTCTGAGATACCAACTGCTTTGCCAACTGTTCTGAGGCCCCAGTAACCAGATGAAACAAGGAAGAAGCTCCCAGCGTGTCCTTTAGGGACAAACTCACTCATTAATCAAGAGAAACTCCCTGAGAGGCCACCCCCAAACAGGCCACACCCACTCTGCAGTGGGCAGGCTTCCAAAGCCCCCATGCCTGCACTGAGCCCTCTTGCCAAGTGGCACTGCCACCTTAGACAGCCTCACCCCTTGCGCTCCCAGCTGCACTGCCTGCCAGAGCAGATCCTCAGGGCATGTGCTGAATTACCTTTAAAACTCCCTGCTTGCAGATAAGGAAACCCCCAGTTTACAGATAGGGAAACCCCCAGCTTGCAGATAAGGAAACAAGCTCAGGTGGGAGTGGGGAGATACTTGGCCCAGGTCACTCAGAGTCAGGGGACGTAGGTTTCCCCGGGGGAGGACACCAGACAGCCTGGTGTGGGGAAGGGAGCCAGGATTCCAGTAGGTTTGAACCCCAAAGGACCTGTAGGAGCTAGGTTGAGCCTACCTGCAACACTGTCCAGGCGGAGCAGAGACAGAGAGGCAGGGCACCATTGGTAGACACGGATGCCTGGACTTCCAGTCGCAGCTCTGGCTCGACTTCCGCACTCGGTGCCAGCTTCTTCAGCTCCTCATCGCCTCCAGCTTCGTCATCTTTCTAGATGACTGATTTGTCTATTGAGAACAGTAATATCACCGACCTGTGGTCTTGTTCTGAAATCCCTTTGTTCGCCCCTCCCTTCTCTCTCTCTCTAAAGAAGGGGACAACAAGGAACAAGATACAACCTTTATTTCCTCAATTCTTGGGTTTAAGAATCTTAAAGGCTAGGGACTTGAAGAATATTTATGTATCTGGCCGAGAAACAATGTTGGAAAATAAACCGCAGCAGACTCTGGCCGGAGACTTGGCGAGAAGGAAGGGCTAAGGTATGGACTCAGCCCTGGAGGCCCGCTGTGGTGGACAGTGGCACTGGGGAAAGCCTGGAGCCTCAGACTGGGGCTCCTGGAGGTGCGCCTGGATCTCAGCGACTCCCAGGCCTGACCCCCTGAGTCCTAGATACACGCACCCCACCGAGCAAGAAGAACAAAGCTGGGCGAGGCTGGAGGGGCCTGACAGCTGGCGGGAGATGGGCCTGGATATCTGGGGCCCCCCCGGAAGCAGCGCCTCAATGGGCAGTGCTAGGAAGGGGCAGAGCCAGGGTGCAGGCACGCGGGGCCCCAGGCTCTGACCCCTCGGGGCCCTTGGCACTGGAGCAGTCCCACTAGAACTGAGAAGCATTCCCAGTAGGAGAGGGGTGGAGAGCAAAAGACTCAAAGCACCAAGATTAAATCTGACCTAGGAGTTAATGGGAGGAGCCTGTGGCGGGGGTGGGGGCAAACCCCATCCACAGAGCAGGGGTTGTTGCCCAGCCAACCTACTGCTGCCAGCTACTCCACATGGGCTGAGCCCTCCTGGGTCTGGATGCTGGTCTGGGCACCACCGGGACCCAACCTCGTGGTGGATCTGAAGACCCAGGAGCTAGCTGCTGGGGGAGGGTCAGGCATCTGTGTGAGGAAGGTGGCCACCCTCTTGATCTGTGTGACATAAATATGATCCATGAAATGGACAGCCTCCTTCCCAGCTGCCTGCTCGGAAATGAAGGCATGGAGCGGGCAGTGGGGTGCAGCAGGAGACCCAGGGCTTCCAGAAAGTTCTGACTGGGAGGTCTATGCTCAGTGAGGCAGGAGGAGGCACTGAGGGGCGCTCCCTCTTCAGAGTGCTGCCTGTGGCATGTGGATGGACTCCGAGCAGCTGCAGCTGGGATTCCACCTTCCAGAACGTGGCCACAGTAGCGTGGGGTGAGCAGTTGTCCAATCATTGCAGTCCTGGGTGTGAGGACCGTGGCTTGAGACAGACCTGGCACCCAGAAGCTTCCTGGCAGACTGGAGAATCTGGGAGCTGAGCATGTTATTACAGGAGAGGCATGAAGAAGCATCTCAGGGACATAACCAGCTCCACCGAGCCACTGCAGGTCCCAGCCCCTGCAGGAAGCACAGTGACCCCAAGGGCCCCGCACAGCGTGGGGTCTGGCTCACTCACCTGGAGCTGCGTGCCAGGCTGGAGGGATAGGATAGGGCCATCTGGGGTGGGGGTGGGGGCACTGCCCAAGGGAATTCAGAACTCCAGTGACCTTAGCCTTTAAGCCACTCAGACCAAAATTAACTTCCTTTGTTCTCGATCCCATCCCCCAAAACAATAAAACGTCATTCTCTTTCTTTGTTGGCGAGGTTGAGACAGCTCATCTTGTCCTCTTCTACCTTCTTGCCAATCAATTTGCAATAAAGCCTCTTTCTTTTCTTAAACCCTAGTTTCACAATCTGGTCTATGCATGGTGGGTAATGGGCCCCTCACAATGGCTTGAGGTAAATGGTTTTACTATATTCCTGCTACAAATGACAAAGTTGAGTCTCCAAAAGGGTCTTTCTCTGTACATGCCAGGGCTGCAGGTGGGATTTCCTGATTCTAGACCTTGCGCCGTTCACCGCCCCTCGCTCAGGATGCCAGCCCTGCCTCACACGAGCGCCGAATGAGGTAATAATGCTGGTGAGAAGCTTAGCACTGTGCCTGAAGTGGGGCCGAGGTCAAAAAGAAAAAGGTCCACTGGGCCTCCCTGGTGGCGCAGGAGTGAAAGGTAGCACTACCACGCTCTTGCCAGCTACTGCAGCACAGGTTCGATCCCCCGCGGCCACGGAGTGACCCACAGGTGCAGCAGCCCTCTCCTGTCGCCAAGCTGCTCCCCTCAGCAGCGCGTTTCAGTCCATCCACCTGTTCTCCTCCCTATTCTGTCTCTGGTGAATCCTCTCACCCCCTGCATCTCTAGCCTGCACCCCAGTTCTTGTGTGCATAAATAAATAAATCTTTAAAAGGTAAAAGTTAAACTACACAGTGAAACGCTGACTTAGTCTACTCAGCACACAGGCGATGTCTGGAGACTGCTCTGTGCGGGTTGTGCCTTGCAGCAGCTCTGTGAGGGCTGATTCTCGCTCCCGGCCGGTCAGCGCGCGTTTCCGGGGCAATGGGCGCTGTCTCACGCCCTTGGTGCTGACTCTGTCTTCACAACAATCCCGAGGAGGAGCCCAGTAGCTTGACTCGCTTCACGGACTGCGAGGGGCTCCGCCCGGCGGTTGGCTTTGCACTCTAACC